TAGTTTATCCGGTCAACCAGAACAGTTTCCGTTCTCACAAGGTTCAGTTATTACTATGTCGAATGCACCATCAAACGATATTTTTTCACAAGCTATATCATTAATTTCTGCACCAAGTGGTACTTTTTATCAATATTAAATTAAATATCACGTTAAGAAGCTAATGATTATACCTCTAACTTCATTAGATTAAAACAGTATCTAATAAATAAAACTATCAAACAAAGTGTCTTTCCTTACCTTTATGAAATCCTTCGATGCTGTATATATTGCTTCACATACTTCTGTGATCATCATGCAAACACTGGCCTTTCATACTCTAAAGAAGTGACTAAGAACTCGGATACTGACTCCTGTTGCCAGCAAATAAAGCAGGACATGTAATTTTAATTTTGGTGATAGAGCACTTCGCATGTTGGTATTAAACTTCTTTATCATGTGCTGAATTTTGTCAAGTAAATATTTAAAGAAGCCTTCTGATATTTGCAGGGCACTAAAGTATTCTAATTTATCTTCGTCGGCGAGTTCGTTGAAAAGCACCATACTTGCACCAAACTTTTTTCTTCTGCTGATCCACTTTCGGTCCCAAAGTCGTTTAGGCCTCTTTTTCTCTTCGTATATTTTGTCACTTATTTCTTCTAATATAATATTTAAGATATCGCGTACAATGCTATTAAATTTCTTCACGAACTCCTGTCACACATTCATCACGTCAGTTGAGTAAATATTTAGACTCCACTAGAACCTAGAACTTTATCACTCTGAACTTAACTTATAATACTACCTCAGCACGTGTACAGCATTTGCAGAAAAAGCAGTAACTTAAAATGTAGTTACCACTTACCTACTGTCTACGTGTAAACAAGCTTTTATGGATTGATCTAAAAACAATACCAATCTGCTTGTGGCGAGGGAAATCGAAAGTTTCGTCTACAATTACAGAAAGAGGCTACCCGTTTTACTTCCTTTTGAAAATTCCTTAGAATTTCATTTTTAGTAGAATGTAAAATATCATTTTGAATGTAGGTAGTGGCTAAGATAAGTGCAGTTATTTGAGGCTTTGAAGCTGGTACCTATAGTTAACAGCTGAAGTCCGTTTGAAGAGGTTTACTCTCCGGACGCTGGTACTCACGTAAGCCATGGGTGTATGTTACCTGAAGTAAAATATAATTAAATATTAAACATCAAATATTATTACCAACAATATGTACAATCTTTGGTAACCTTATTTATTTTAAAGGGTTTTTACCCTAATATTTTGGGGGCTCAGGCATTTTAACCTGCATTTTTAACCTGATGATGGAATTATTATTCCGAAGACGTTCGTGTTAATTTGATGTAGCCATTTTAAGGTTTTTTTTTAAATATACCCACTTACAAAGATTTAACCTCTTTTTTTGTGATACGTGGTATACAGCCAGCTGCAGGAATTATTCTCCCTGTGGATTTTGGTTTTTACTCAATTTTCTTTGGACTAGTATTTCACTTCTTATTCGTCTCTGAATATATTTGTACATTTTTTGTTATTCTTTGATTTTATTCTTTCTTCCATGAGTTGCAGTATATTGTAATTCATCCAACTTTTCCTCTTTCTTTATTTTCTATTAGATGTTCTTCTGTGATCTGGTTAAAGGTTTCACACATATTTTGAAGTGATTCTTCTTCATCATATGTTTGCGTCATGTTACGTAGCTTTTCTGAGACAATTCGTGCGACTGTCTTTTTTGTTTCCTTATTATTTAGTCTTCTCATATCAATTTTTTTGTTACTATTCTTTTTAGTAACCTGTTTAAATCTAAACCTAAATTTACCAATATCAGTGATATGATCTGACCATACGTCAGCACCCGATTATCTTTTAACTGATAGGCATCCATTAAAAAATCTCTTGTTCTCCATTACGTAATCAATTTAATTCCTCATTATGTTTCCTGCATGATCTTGCGGAGAGATCCAAGTATACAAATGTCTTGCTGGTAGTTTAATTATAGTATAAGAACTTTTAATTAGTTTGTTTTTAATATTTATAAATATGATTCGACAAAAAAAAATCGAGCCATAAAAAATTATTAAAACTCTTCTGGTAAATGTAAAGAGCTTTTTTAATTGTTGGGCGTTTGTAAAGACTTCTTAATATACCGCCCTCAATATATTTTTTCGAGCTAAATTTTGTATCTTGTCCTCTAGTTGGTAGTTAAAAAAACTATTACTGTAACTACCATTCCCCTTTTTTTACAAGTTCGACCAACCACTATCATCTTTTATTGCGTTCGCCAATTCCGTGCTCACCAATCAAGTCTTCGCATTTTCATGTGTTTATTTTGGCAATAGTATTCCATCCCACAATTAATAATAACTCCATTACAATAATGGTTTCATGTTTCTATACATTTTTCAGTATTTGGTCGATTTACCTATACAATTCTTCGATCATCTTATCTTCACTTTGGACAGTAGACGCATAAACTTGTTTGAATTTGTACTTTTGCCTGTCACCAATTACGCAGGTACAAGTCAGTTAAAAGATTTCTGATTGGAATGCTGTTGTCTCTTGACCAGGTGAGCGCAACTAAACTTATTAAATTTAAAACTCAGGTTACTTAAGTATATTGATATATATATAACAAGCGAGTCTTCTACAGCTGGCGCCGCTTCTCGCATCCTAATTTCCAGCGTTTTCTATCGAAGCAATCTTCAGTTGTTAGATCTCTGGCGGTCATTGCATCGTCCACATCGTCTCTCCAGGATCGTCTTGGTCTACCTCGTTTTCTTCTAGTTGGCCGAGTCCATTCTTCTATTTTTTTTGGCCATCTATTTTCCGGCATTCTCTGAAGGTGTCCATACCAGTTAAGTCTTTTGGCTTCGATTGTGTCTATTATGTCTAGATCGATTTCCATTTCTCTCCGAATATCTTCGTTTCTCACCCTATCAAGTCTAGTGAGCTGGCAACATCGTCTCCAGTAGTTTATTTTCATGGCCTTAATTTTTGATTTGTTTCTTTGGTTTATTTCCCAGAGTTCGGCGCCATACAGTCCAATACTTTCTATTATTGTTTTATAAATTCTTCTTTTATTTTATTTTGTTATTTTTTTATTCCATAATAGTCCGTGTAGCTGTCTGGTGGCTGATCTTGCTTGGCCAATCCTGGAATGTATTTCTTCGCTACTTCCTGCTTTTGATGTTATTTGGACTCCCAAGTACTTAAAATTGTCTGTTGGTTTTATAGTTCACATTTCGATTTGTAGGCTTTCTGGTTTTTCTTCTACAACTAAGTACTCAGTTTTTTGTATATAAATTAATATATAAATTATATGTATATAAATTTTGTATATAAATTATAATAAATTTGTAGTATATTGATTAAAAATCAAAAAATTAAATGCCATTGTTCTAAAACAACTTCTATGGAAAAGTCAAAGACATCTTTAAAAGCAGTACACCAATTTCTCTAAAACTTAAAACATTATAGCAATGTGTGTTGCTGTGATGACCTATGGTACCGAAACTTTGACATTGACAACTAAAACTGCTAAAAAGCTCAGAGGAAAATGGAAAGGTCAATGCTGAGTATATCGCTTCGTGACCGAGTTAGAAATGAAGACTTAAGACGAAGAACAGGAGTTACTGATGTAATTTCCAGAGTTGCTACATTGAAATGGAACTGGGGCGGACACGTCGTCCTAATTAGTAATGAAAGATGGACGAAAAGATTCATCATGTCTATGTCATGTCATGATGGATCGTCAGTCCAACCATTACTCGTTCGACTGACGATCTCAAAAAAATGTCAAGAAATTGGATGAAAAGTGCTCAAGATAGAGCACAATGGACAAAAATAAGGGAGGCCTATGTCGAGCAGTGAACGCGAAGCACTGGGTGATGATAATGAAACCAGAGCAGATATTTTGCACGGAATTATTTGCTAAACCTTCTATGTAAGTAATTATCTCAACACCGTACAATAACCTGCTGTGATATTTATAAAGATAAACGCCACGGATGTTTTGAGTTCATTCTGAAAGCCGACTTCCTCCGCAGGTAGTGTTTGTCCGATTCTGCCAACGTTTCCATAAGCGCTTTTATGGGAACGTTTTCGTCATTTGATGTAGTATGTATTAAAATGGCGAGTATATTTACCATTTTGGAGATTACCATTATCTCTCTCTTGTCGTTTCCTCATTGCTGAGGATCGTGATTCCCTACAATGCGGGCTGTCAATTCTCTCCATCTCTTGCGATTTTGGGCTGCTCTCATGGACTCGGAAAACGTCTCTCCAGTGGCTTTCTGTACTTGAACTGACCATCGGATAGGTGAGCGTCCTCGGCCTCTACGTCCTTCTACGTTTCCGCACACAATTAGTCTTTCTAAGTTGTCATTGTCTCTTCTCGCAATGTGGCCTGCTTTGGATCCCTCATTAATTAAACATTTCCTAGTTCCAGTATAAGTCCACTGTTCTGGTAGCTATTTTTTCAGGAGTAACTGAGCTTGTTTTGTAGTTTATTAGTTTCGTATCAAATTTCTTAAACAGACACTAAGCCTTCTTACCGAAATGGCAGAAATCTAAACTTTCTTTTTATATGTTTATTTTTCTTTCTTTTTTTCGCCCAAACAATAATTCATAAACCATTTCATAAAATAAGTTACTAACTTACAAAAAGTAATAGGTAATTAATTATACAGTTGATAGCTTATCAGCAATGAATAATAATAAATATCTTGGATAGTTTGACGAACTGTATATTAAAAATATTTAATTGAACAAATCAACAAAAAGAAAGTAGAAAGGATAATAAAAATTTAATTAATTATTAAAATATAGTATTGTTCTAAAAAAATACAATTATAATAATCTTAGGGAATAATTATATTGAAACAAAATAGATAATGGTTTTTTAATTAGCATGTACGAGATATATAAGATTAAATATGAACAAGTAAATGACGCGGCAACACCGCTTTCTCTTAATAAAATAGGTGGAAACCAAGCATTAGGTAGAAACGCGCCAAAGAGAACGTAGGTCGTATGTATGTGTGTGAATATTTGTTTTGACAGTGCGTGTGACTCAAATGTCAAGCGTGAAAACTAAGCAAATGTTAACTGTGTAAAGCAAAAAAATCTTAAGATGAGTTCAAGAACTTCCAGCTACCAAGGCAGCCAAATATTCGCAGGCCTGGCACAATATGCCGGACTAGAGACTGATCAACTCAATTTTCTTATAAGCCAATTCGTTGCTCTGCTTTTATCTACACTTTACAGAACAGTACTCCACCCTAGTAAGACAAGAACAGAAATCAGACATGCATTTGGATTAGTTGTAGGGCTGTGCATGGGTTATTTTTGCTTTGGATTTCAAGCTATACATTTGGCAGGTCTACCAATGATATGTTACATGGTAAGTACTACTTAATTTTTATTCTACCTATATAAGTTGCCGGCAAAAGACAACTGTTGCATTCAACACAATTATGATCTTCATAATAGGTACTCCAGTTTAATCTAATAAAGTAAAAATATGTTGAAGTATGTACTTTAGAAACTCATTGAAATGGGCGATGTTATTGTCTCTTTGCCTTGACCTTCTAAGATGTTAGAACTTTTGTCTGGTTTTTTCTAAAGAATCGTGAAAGTCGAGACGGGAAATATCCTATTAAAATTAGTGTTGGTCGATGCTTTCTGTGATTGTAGGACAATTAATAGGTCCTGGAAACGACAAAATGTAATATATTAAGTATATAGACGTAAGTAATAGTGATTGCTTTGAATTTAAAATAACTTTACATTATTTATATTCTAATTGAATATTTTTACATCAATATTCGATTGACGACCTATGCACGCATTGAAAGCTGTTTTTGTTTACAAGTAGTAGAAAAACAGGAGTTAAAAATAATATTTTCATAAAACATTTCTCGATCATTGAAAGGGTATGTTCTTTTTACTGTTATTAAAAGGAGCAGTTAATACTGTTAAATATGAGGGTTCAAATGAATTTCTTTAAGACAAGTTGTGAAATATTTGTTGTATCAGACTTCCTTAAACATGTGCAATTCTCTCTTTACCTATTTGTTTTAGGTAATGTAGGTAATTTATTCTTGAGTTTCCATGAGAGGTACACATTCACCATCATCGTCTTTGCATTATAGCTCTTAAAAATTTTCCATGCTTGCATATTCTTCCTCCTTATATGTAGGCTTTAAAGCATGTTTCTTCTTCAATATTAGTCTCCTAAATTGTTTCAATTATCGCACCGTTTTTTTCTTGGTCTGCCAATACTTCTTTGTCCATTTGGTGACTTATTTCGTGCTATTCGTACTATCCTATCCTCTGCAATTCTACTAATGTGTTCGTTCCATTCCTGTTTCCGTTTTGTCACCCATCCATTTATGTCTTCTATATTGCATGCTTTTCTTATGTTTTCGCTTCTCTCCCTATTTAACAGACTTTTCCCTGATATTCGTCGGAGTATTTTCATCTGTTTTTTCTAGTAGTCGTATCGTTTTAGATGAGTCATGTCTTGTCTCCGCCGTCAATGTTAATATAGGTCTAATGGCTGATTTATACTTTCTTGTTTTTGAGTCTTATCTTTTGGGTATTTGTTCGTCCAGATTGTCATTAAGAGATCCCGCCGCTTTACTTGCCTTTAAGATTTGTTGTCGTACTTCTTCTTTAACATCTCCTAGTTATATCTATTTCCAGATATCTAAACCTTGCTTACCGCGTTATTATTTTTCCATCAATTTCGATTTTACATCTTAGTGGGCATTTAGATGTTGTCATATATTAGGTTTTTTTCTGCTTATATTATCATATTGTATTTCTTGACTGTTGTATTGAAGATGTGTGTTAATCTTTGGAGCTCGTCTTCTATCTCGGCGATTATTGCGGTGTCATCGTCTGCATAACATAATATTTAGATTTCTTTGTACCCCATTCTGTAACCATAACCTTTACGTACTTCTTGTATTATTTCGTCCATTATTATACTTATTAAAGAGAAGTAGGCCTAATGACTCACCCTGTGTGACTTCCCTTTATACTGGTATACACTGTGTTAATTTTCCATTTATCTTAGCCTGTATTCGATTATGGAAGTACATGTTTTCGATGGATTGTATACTATTGATTGGTAATTACTATTTATAACTGGGAATAAGCCACAATTAAAGATTAAAATACGTTTATTGACGTTTCAATTTCCAATTCGGAAATCGTTTTCAAAATACAAACAGTAAATTAAACAAATTTTGTTTTTTGTTACATAGTGAAAAAATTCTTCTAATAATTTAATTTTATCTGACTCATTTATATTGACAATTCAGACATACATTATGCATTTTAAAGTAGACGACTTTAAAATGATATTGCCAATATTGTTGAGTTGCGCTCCTGGGACGACTTTACTTATAAGATAGTTCATTCGATTACATGAAATCAACTTTAACTTGAGAATATCCGTCAGAAAAAATCATAGCATGTAATTCGTCTTTAAAAAGACAAACACATGACATTCTCCTGTTAGTGATTCCATAGTAAATTATGAGGGAAAAACCAGGAAAAAAACCTCATAATACTATCCAGACATTGTAAGTATTTGTTCGTGAATTTAGTTTACCTTCAACAAACATCAAAATTCTGATTTTATACGTTACGTTATTTAAAAAACATAAATGATGTATCCTCTATATGTTACTGACTTACTAATACTGGTATTTTCTTATTAATAACTTCCTCTTTCAATATTGGTAACCAGATCCTACTACATTCTGCCGAGGAATTTGCGACACAATTGGCCTCATTTAGCATAATTAGAGCCGCTTCTTTGATTTTTCTTTTTTTACCATCCGTTTCTTTTAGGACCATATTTGAATTATTCCATTGAACCCTATGTTCACTATCCCATGCGTGTTTATATATTTGAGATCTATCAAATTCTCTATTTTTAATATAAGATTGATGTTCACTTATTCTAACATTTAATGGCCTTGATGATTCACCTAAATAAAACTGATCGCATTCACAAGGTATTTTATAAATGCAATTCTTTGTCCTTTCTTGTTCATTGTTAGGTTTGGTTTTGGACAAAATAGATCTCAACGTGTTTGTTGTTTTGAATGTTGTTGAAATGTTGAATTTATTTCCTATCCTTTTAAGTTTTTGTGATAATCCTTTTATGTACGGTATTGCTATTTTCCTCATATTATTTCTTGTGTATGCTGTAGAATCTCGTTCTAAGTTGTTCTGTTCTATTCGATCGATTGTTGAAAATTCCTTATTTATAAACGATAAAGGATAATCATTTTTTAATAAAACAGATGTTAACAAATGTTTCTCCTCCAAGAACGAATTTTCGTTAGAACAAGTAATTTTGGCTCTATCGTATAAGGATTTAATTATTCCCTTTTGTACATTAATATTGTGATTTGATTTGAAATTTAAATATCTATTGGTGTGTGTTGGTTTTCTATACACCTGAGTCTCATATCCTGTATCGTTCTTAGAGATTAAAACATCCAGGAAAGGTAGCATGTTATTATATTCCTTTTCCATGGTAAATGTTATTGTCTCTTCTTTATCGTTTATATCGTTTAGGAATGTGTCCAACAACTCTGATCCATGAGGCCATATTGAGAATACATCATCTACATACCTCCACCATACTGTGGGTTTGAAATTTTTTTTAGAAATGATATTTGTTTCAAAATCTTCCATAAATATATCGGCTAAGAATGGAGATAAACTAGAGCCCATTGCTAGACCAAAATTTTGTTTATAGAATTCATTATTTAGTTGAAAATATGTATTATCAGTACATAATGTTAATAACTCCATTATAGCCGATATGTTTAGTCTTGTTCTAGTTGCCAATGAATCATCACTCTCTAATTTTGTCTTGATTATACTTAAAGTCTTATTTAATGGTACATTCGTAAATAAACTATTTATGTCAAAACTTACCAAAGTATTATTTGAATTAAATTCAATATTTGATAATTTATTTAAAAAATGTTGTGTATTTTTTATGAATGTGTCATTTTTATTTGTATAAGGTTTTAAAATATTTAATAAAAATTTTGATAGTTCACTACAAGGAGCATTCATGGTACTACAAATGGGTCTAAGTGGTATATTCGTTTTATGAATTTTCGGTACTCCATAAAAATGAGGAGTCTTACTGTAATGAGGTGTAATTAATCCTCTCTGATAACTTGTTAAAACATCTTTAAACTTGAATAAAGTTCTATATATTTTGTTTTCCAAAGGCTTTGTTGGATCTTTTGTTAATTTTGTATAAGGTCCGTTTATTAATAGATGTTTAATTTTATTTTCGTATTGAATTTTATCCATTATTACAGTTGCATTCCCCTTGCCTGCTGGTAGGATGATTATGGAGTCGTCATTTTTTAAAGTTCTTATAGCCTTTAGTTCCTCTTTGCTTATGTTTTGTTCAATTTTAGTAGGTTTTTCCAATTCAAGTTTACATAACACTCTGTATTCTTCCTTTTCGTGGGTTGGTAAGCATTGAGATATTTTCTCCACTGAGCTTATTATGTCTAATTTTGGAACGGATGGCTGAGTATTAGTAAAGTTTAAGTAAAGTCGTCCCAGGAGCGCAACTCAACAATATTGGCAATATCATTTTAAAGTCGTCTACTTTAAAATGCATAATGTATGTCTGAATTGTCAATATAAATGAGTCAGATAAAATTAATTTATTAGAAGAATTTTTTCACTATGTAACAAAAAACAAAATTTGTTTTATTTTACTGTTTGTATTTTGAGAACGATTTCCGAATTGGAAATTGAAACGTCAATAAACGTATTTTAATCTTTAATTGTGGCTTATTCCCAGTTATAAATAGTAATTAATTTACAATGCCACAAGAAAATAGCTTCAGAACAATATTGATTGGTCTTATGATTCTTTTATACAGTAGGTGTAAGACGTCTTCGACTTGGATGCGATCGAAAGCCTTGGTCAGGTCTATAAAACATAGATATGCTGATTTATTGTACTTGATGGCCTTTTCTGTGATTTGTCTTAGTACGGCGTCTACGCAGGATCTTCCAGATCTGAATCATTGTTGTTCATCTGATAAAGTTATTGGTTTATTGATTTTGTTCGTTAGGACTGTTGTGGTAAGCTTAAGTGCGGTGTTTAGTAGATTTATACCTCTATAATTGTTGGGGTCTTCCTTACCTCCTTTCTTGAACATTGGTATCATTGTGATGTTTCTCTATGGGTCAGGCATCTTACAGTACAATATTAGCTTTTCTATAAGGTTTGTCATTTCTAGGGCTATACTCTCGCTTCCGTGTTTTAGAAGCTAGTTGGTTATTCCATCTGGTCCTGATGACTTTCTATTTTTGAGTTAATTTATGGCTATCTCTACT